CAATAAGAAAAGAGGGAAGTAAGATAATATCAGTCAGTTTCCTTCTGAAGAGGTTTGGTTAGATCAGAATTTTTCGTTTTAGAAAATTACAAAGCAAAAACACATCAGATTACAATTCTACCTAGGATGGGAGGAAGATAGCAGATATTGTTAATGTTCTGAAAATAATTACACCCCATTGTACCCAGTTCTAGTAAAAGGTGTATCGAAAGGAAATGCTGCTTTTTTGCCTCTTGCATTGTGAGAATCATTTGAACACCCTTTGCTTCAATTTCTGAAAACAGAAGGAAGCAAGTGTAGGCTCTCAGCTCATCTGGCTGTATGCTGAAATACAGGACTTGCAGTGAGGCCAAGGGCTTCAATTTTTCTGTTGATAATGTTCAGATCAGCTGCTGATATGAAAGTATCTATAAGAAGGGAAAGTAACTGTTCTTACCATGCTCTTCACAAGTTTGGTGTCTAGACTTTCTTTCTTTAGTCCATTATGGACTGTGTGTAAACTTGCATGCATTTGCCCATTCAACTTCCAGTTTTCAATCTGTGAAACAGGGGTGGTAGCACTTACATATCTTTAGGGATTAAGATCTAATCCTGGAGGGGCTCCAGACTGCAGCATTTTATACTCATAAAAAGCACCACTAAAACACTTGTGAACTGTACTGACAGGTCCTTACAAGACTGGGATATATTTTTAAAATGCTATTATATGTGAGTAATATTATCGTGTAAATCATATAAATTATTAATTATTAATAAAAAATGAAGTGTATTTAGCATCCCTGAGTGAAAGCTTCTATAGGAGGCTAATTCATAAATCTTCAACAAAGCATTTGTAGTTCTGTATATTCTCGGTTGATTAATTTTGCAAACTTGCACATACACATTTAATCTCCATTTTGCATATGCTTATACCTATCGGCAAATTACAAACTGCATATGTGCTGTAGAATTTGCATACATCCAAAGAGAAGGCTCACTTCTGCAGAGGGACTTTTACAAGTGTGACCTCTCCTAAGTTATACAAGTAAAATATAGAAAACTCTCTGTCACTTAGAATGTAGAGCAAAAACAGTGATGAAAGCGCTTGCTCGTGATTGAGAAAACAATACATTCTTCAGTCCTTCCATGCAAAGAAAATCTGCTTTTTTTTTTTTTGCTTTTTTTTTTTTTTTTTTTCTTTTCCTTTTCCTCCTGCTCTCGCACTAACTGAATGTGGGTGGAAATCAGTAGAAACAGAAAGGGTCATGTTTGCTCCTCAAAATTTGAAGACGGTGTTTTTTTCCTTTGCCACAGATGCTCCGTGCTCATCAGTTGTGTACTCCTGAGAGAGAAAAGAGAGAGAGAAATTGCCAATAACATTGGTAACCTTAAGTGTAGGCATGCATAAAAATTTGCTGAAAATTGGGTTGTGGTACATGTTCTTATTTTAGATTTGCCCTTGTTAACGTCTTTTTAATAAACAGGTGCATACACTTCCCCAAGCTGTCACTGTTGTTTACCCAGTCTGTACACTTTATAAATCTACTAATGGAATAGACCAATCATCCTAAGGATCTGCTTTAATAAGCTAGAGTCTCAAAGTTTTCAGGAAAATACTTTCTGGTAATAAAGCTCTGCTGGAAGAGTGGATACAAGCTTTGCAAGGTTTGCTTTTAAAGATAAGAAGCAAGTGACACAATTTCATTTGTTAGTTGGGCACAATGTAATACACAGAGTTCCATGCATACTTGACATTCAGATCAGCAACAAAGTGGGATGGATAGAGGGGAAACAAAATTAAAAGGTGTAAGAAAGGTGGAAAAGGCTTTCCTAGCCCAGTCTGAAAGAACCACCCCAGCTGTTGGACACTGCCACTTCCTCCTTGGGAGTTCTGTTGATGAAAAAAATCACATTGAAATAATTTGAGGCAGGCATTTCATGTCTGCAAAGAAGAGGGACGTTCCCTAGAGAGTCTAACTTCCATTCTGGATCCCTCTAAGGGGACAAAACACTTACAGGTGCAGTTCAGATCACTGTTTTAGGAATACAAACCTCATTCATTGGGTCTATCTGGAGCAGCAACTCCAGATAAGCTAATAGCTACCATCAATGTGTTAGAGAGATTGATACCCGTACAATAGTAATTACTTTGCTATTGAAATAAGTAAATAAATTAAGGGTATATAATTAACTGTAGTTTCATCTCATGAGCTTTCAAATTGCATCACTGGAGATCAGTATTGTCCGACTGTAGACAGCAAACACTAATTGCTTAAATTTCTTGTAAGTAATACCACGGGAAGAGTTCTTCCATTTAATTCTCTGCTAAAGGTGTCAGCTCAGTAGCCCTGGAGAATGTAATCTATATTACTTATCTCCAGAGAAGTGGAGGGAATGAAAGTAGGAAAATAAACTTTCCTTGTCTTGTCGAAGTTATCACTGTTTCTCAGAGTCAGATGGTTAACTCCACACTTCCATGTTTCATTTTCACAGAGATACCACCGGCAGAGGAACAGTGGAGAAATTTCTGTAACACAGAAAACTCTCCACCATGTATTTGACTCAAAGCACTCATATGTTAAATGAAAGCTACCTATGTTGCTAAGTTGCACAGGAAGAACATCCGTGCGTCACCAACCTGGTCTGTGCTCAACTCTGTGCTCTCTGTGCGTGTTAAACAGCACAGTGTAGATACCTGAAGCTCTGCAGCACTTAGCAGCTTGTTTTAAATGGCTGAACATGGAGTTTCGTATGACTTCATGTGGTTATGAGTTGCACAGTGCCTCATTAGGTCACAGCTCCTCATGTACACCCAAAGCTGCTCTGAGTCATGGTGCTTCACATGGAACAACGCTCCCAGTGCAGACTTCACTCTGAGCATTATTCTTTCTGGGAAAAGGGGGGAAAAAAAGAAAAACCTTTACAGCAGCAAGACTGGGTGTAGGACAGATAGAGTGATTTGTGAAGAAAAAAAGTTACTGAGGGGCTCATTAGAGGCAAAGTTATTAGGCCAAGAAAACAGTTAATCCCTGTCACACAGAGGTAACGGAGTTGCCAGTCATGAACTCTAAATTAAGAGCACTGAGTGCAAGAGAAGTGACTCTTTTTTGCAGCTTCCTCAGTACCATCCGTCTACCATAATGCTGTGGTCTTTTTCTTTCTTTAAATACTGGGCTCCAGCTAATTACTGGCAGGAAGTGCCTATTTTTATGCCATTAGTATGCAAATGAGTGAGAAGTAGAAAAATATTCTAAAGGAACTGTTACAATATCTGTCCACAGATTACTCGCCAATTAGAACGTGGGATTAGGGCTGCGGGACCCCAAAAGAGTATGGCCAAAGTCTTTCTGCTTGGGTGCCTAAAGTTTAATTTCAATGGGAACTGTATATACATGGGGCTTTTCCTCAAAAAAAAAAAAAGCAAAAGAAAAAAAAATAATCAAGCCTAAATTGCCTGCTTACAAATTAGCACTTCTACAGTTCAAAAATGAATGCCTTCACTTCCTTGCCTCAATTTTTCTATAAGCTGGGGATAAAACATCCAGTCTATCTGCGTTCCAGCACACACTGGGACCATCTTGCAGCCAGACTGAAGTTCTCCTCCCACTTCACTCTCCGTGACAATAGCTGAAAGACAAGGAGTTATATTTATAAAAATATTTGTCACGTGAGTGATAAATATTTAAATACTTTCAGATTCTAGCATTTTTGCATAGGTTAAAAAGAATAAATAATAGTTTGTCCTTCCCATAGCTTGATGGTATCAGGAACTTCAGAGGTGGACGAGAGCGGAAAACTATTGGGATGTGACTTGATTTAAGTTTTCTGAACCTAGAAAAGTGTGAAACAAAGCACTTATTATCAGAAGGGTATTTCTCATGCATGTCAGCCTTCTCATCACTCTTGTAATAGCTGATTAGCAAATGTAGGAAAAAGATATAATTGCTCAAATCCTTGACTTCTCTCACAGTTGTACTCTTTGGAAATGTTGCTTTATCAGTTCATTAGATGTTACTCATTTTGACTTCCTATTAAAAAAAAAAAAATAAAAAAAAGAATCTACATACCAAAGATAACACTATGCTCAACTGAGTCAGCATGACAAACATTCCTTTTCTGAAAAGTTTTGCTTGAGAGGTTTGTTATTCATTTTGGGTTTACAAAACAGGATGTAACAGTAACACCTGCCTGGTGTCCCACAGGGTAACAGCACCTGAAGAGATTTATCACAGAAAAGAACACAGCCTCCTACTCGTACATAACTGATAGCAGCCCTGATTTTCTTTCTCTTTCTTCTGCTTATGTCACCAAAGCATACTTGGAAGGTGTTGTTTTTCATTCCCATTTTTGTTCTAAGCCACGGGATGGACCATCAAAGTACATCTTGCTATTTCTTCTTCCCTCCCTGTCCCTGCACCCCAAACTCAGCTGGGCAGGCCCATCAAGCACTATGGGCCAATTGCAAGTGGTTGTTAGGTCGGATGGGGCTCTGGACAACCTGATCTAGTTAATTTTGCCAGCAACACAGGCTGGCTATGGCAGGGGGTTGGAACTTGATGATCCTTGAGGTCCCTTCCAATCCAAGCCATTCTATGACAGGACAAGAGGTAATGGCCTGAAGCTGCACCAGGGCAGGTTCCCTCTGGATAACAGGACACGTTGATTCTCTGAAATAGTAGCGATGCATTGGGACAGGCTGTCAGAGAGCTGTTCCAGAGCCGTGGGGATGCGGCGCTGAGGGACAACTTTGGTGGGCACGGTGGGGGTGGGTTGGGGTTGGACTTGGGGATCCTCGATGTTTTTCCATCCTCAGTGGTTCTGTGTCTCGATATAAAACAGCCCGAGCTGCAGGCACTGCCCACGCCGGGCAGCCAAGCTCCTCGGCCCCACGGCGATGGCCGGGCCCGGGGCGAGCGGCCCGCCGCGGAAGGAGGAAGGAGGGGGCCCGGCTGGCGGCTGGGGGAGGCTGGCTCTCCTGCGTGCCGAGGGGAGGGAGGGGCCGGGACGCCGGCGCGTCGGTGCCGACGGTCTCCAGGCGGGAGTGAGGAGGAGGAGGAGGAGGTGAGCTCCCTCTGGGTGGGGTAAGGAGCGGGGCCGCCCGAGCGAGGCGGGAGGGAGGGAAGGGGTCAGCGCGGAGCGGCGGGGCGGGCGCTCGGCCCGGCGCCTGGGGGAGGCCGGGAGGAGAGCCGGCTGCAGGAGGAGGAGGAGGAGAAGGAGGGGGGAGCCCGGCCCCGGAGCGCGCGTTGAGGAGGGGAGGGAGCAGAGGGCGGCCGAGCCGCCCGGACAGCGCCCGGCACGGCTGCGGCACCTGCGGCTCGGGAGGCGCTGTGCGGGCACCGCTCGGCCGCCGCCCGCCGCCCCCTAAGATGGCTCCGCGGCCTCCGCAGAGGGGGAGCCGCTCCGGGGACCGGCGCGGTCCGGCGAGCTCCAGCGGGCTGCCCGGCCTGCTGCCGCGGCGGGGTGCCGCTGCACGGCGGCCTAACATGGCTGCCCGCGCCCGGCAGGCCGCGGCACGGAGGCCCTGCCCGCAGCTTCATGCGGGGCTCGGGGAGCTGCAGTCACCGGGCCTTCAGGGTTACGTGAGCCCCGAGCTGTGCTTCAGCCGCCCCACACCTCTGTAAACGTTTAGGGTTTGTGTTATTTCCTAAGCACGTGCTTGGTTTTCTCTTAAAAACAAAACAAACACAACACTGGTTTATCATAAGCCTTTATAAATCGGTCTGCTCAGTTTGAGCCCCGAGTGTCCCCAAGAAGCCATTAAGATATGAATATGTAAAAGCAATTTTGCTGGTAGAACTGTCAGGAAAAAGCCATAACCTTTACAGTGTTCTAATGTGCTTCACGGTGGGGGAGGGGGGAGGAAGCATAAAACTCAACTTCAGTTCACCAAATCATACAGTTTTAGGGTTTTTCTTTAGTTCCTTTAGGCTCACAGACGTTATGGGATGGAACACCTCATAGCACAGCAGCTGCCCACTGGCTCTTTGCAAGTGAATCCCAACTTCAGGGGAGTGTGTCTGGGATGAATGAGGCTTGGCAGGTCTGCATGGATCTTTTAACACATGGCTGTGTGCTGAGCGGAGCAGCAGCAGGCTGCTGAGAAGAAGGCATTGGAGGTGAAAATGGATGCATTTTTTGTAAGGAGTAGGGGCAGGAGTTGGAAGGAGGAGTAGTTCTGATGAGTTAAGTATGATTAAGTTGTTTACTATGAGAGTGGTGAGGGAACAGCTGCCCAGAGAGGCTGTGATGCCCCGTCCATCCCTGAAGGTGTTCAAGGCCGGGTTGGATGGGGCTCTGGGCAGCCTGGGCTGGTATTAAATGTGGAGGTTGGTGGCCCTGCATGTGGTGGGGGGTTGGAGCTTTGTGATCCTTGAGGTCCCTTTCAACCTGGGCCATTTTGTGATTTAGCTCCTGGGGGAGAAGCGTAGTTTGTGGTGGGATTTGCTGGTCCTCAAGAATTAGATGCGCATTACCACGACTCAGAGATGAGCACAATAGTCAGGTAAAGATGAGTAGTGGATTTTAGTGTGGCTTATAACAATGGTTTGGCATAATTAAATAGAGCTATTTTATTGGACTCTATTAACCTGGTTAACCTTAAATCTTAACCATGACAGGGCTTTCATGTAAAGAGGCTCCATACAAAGTACAATATTGAATTTTAATTGGAGCTTTCTTTCAAGACCTGCTGTAGAGTGTATTCCTC